TTATAGGAAAACAGAAATTTGATATATTTTCATCCAGCTTAAGTGTAATTAGTGGTTCAGATGAATGGGCATAGGATCAGAGTCTATTTTATTGCCTTTATTTTATTTAATTTAGCCTTCTTTTACCTCTTGTTAAGTTGGCGCTGTGCAGCGAAGGCAGAAATGTGGAGACCGCAACAGAGAAATCATGTCTACGCTTGAACCGATTTTATTTTGTTATTTATTTACTTACTTATATAAATGTCCATAATGTAATTTCCTGTTAGATTTTTCACACTTCTGAGTGTCAAAAAGAAGTAAAGCTCACAGCGAAGGCCTCTGAACATCACATTGTTTTATTATTCATCCTTCATTGTGCATATGAACTCTTCCATGCATATGAGAGAGAGAGAGATTAAAAAAAGGAAAAACACCTAAGTAGACAGAGAAAAGTGAGAAACATAAGAGAGATCAGAAAACATATTTCTTACAGATATTGTGTTCAGAAGACGTTTGCAGGGAATTGTGGGTAAGCAGCGCTCCGGACATATTGCTTGCTCGACGAGCAGAGAGTTACCAGTGCTCATCAGGAGGAGGTCGATATAAAAAAAATAATAAATAATCATCATAGTAAACTCTTTTCAACCATTTGGTGATGTATACGTTTTGCTGGTATTTATGGCTGGTATTTATGTACTTTTTTTTTTAATCACTAAATTTTAGTAGACAGGAAAAATCATCTTTTTTTTCAACGCATTCATTCTGTCTTCATTCTGTCAAAACGACATCAGACTTACAAAGAAATCATCTTTTTTTTTTTTTTTTAAATGGATAAACATCAACAGTACCAAACATCTGTAATGAAAACTCGACAGTATAATAACATCATACTTTAAGATTCCTTTAACAGTGAATAAAATTGATCATATTTTTAAAAAATAACACTAAAAACACACACGGGTTATTAAAAAATACAAAATTCAGACACATTACAATGCATAAAGGACGTATTTATAATCGTGTCACCCTGAATCCTGAAATCAATCGTGATGTGTTGAGAGACTCATAATAAATATGTGATATTTATATTTTTTACACGTCATACATTTTGTTTTGATAGAAAATAGACGTAGCAAATGATTTACATTTAAAACTGAATGTAAAACAGCATCACACTCTTCCCCACAACAAGTAGTGAGCTTGAAACATATGAAAGTGTGCTATAATAAAATCACAGCACATTTTTCCCCTGCATGTTTCGATTGTATAAAGACGAGAATCCACAGTTTTGTTGGGTTTGCTTATGTATTCTTTGAACAAGCTGTTTTTTTTTTTTTGTTCTTGGTCCATAGTAAGAGCACCTTCCTTGAGAATTTTCACACACACACACACACACACAGGTCACACTGAGTCCACTTTGTCCTGGTTGTTGTTGGTGAAGGGTGGCGACGGTTTGCTCCGGAGCCTCTCCTGAGCATCGTACGAGTTTTCTGGAAAGAACACAGTCGCTGTGCAGAGTGACAAGACGATGCGCTTGTATTCGCGGCGGAAGTTCTGGTTGAGCGCGCCGTAGACGATGGCGTTGAGGCAGCTGTTGAAGTACGCCAGGAAGTAGCTGGCCACGAAGAGCCACTCAGGGACGGCTCGCTCGGGCGCTACAGCCACAGCTAGGCCAATGGCGTTGAGCGGCGCCCAGCATACAGCGAAAAGCACAAAGACGGCGAACATAGTCACGAAGTTGCGCACGTCCTGGGGTGTCACGCCAGCTGGCCGGGTCTCAGGCCTCGCGCGCCGCCGTGCCCGGATTACCAACACCCATATGCGCAGGTAGCAGTAGGCCACCACCAGGATGGGCAGCAGGAAGTGGAAGGAGACGACGGCGAGTGTGTACGCGGCGCTGGCCGACTGCGCAAACGTGCACGAGTAGACGCGATCATCATAGCGGAGCGAGCCTACGAACACGTTGGGCACCACAGCCAGCACGCTCAGCGCCCAGATCAGCGCCACGTAGCAGGCCGAGTTGCGCCCGCTGAACAGCCGCTCATAGCGCAGGCTGTGGCAGATGTAGCAGTAGCGGTTTACAGCAATGCCTGCGATGTTGAAAATAGAGCCGACTACGCTGACACCCATCAGGAAGCCGCTGATCTGGCACTGCGCTGCCCCCGCGCGCCAACCATGCCCGAAGATAGCTGCCAACACCAGGGGGTACGGGTACAGAGCAACCACCAGGTCAGCAACAGCCAGACTCACCACGAAGATGTTACCTGAGAGAAGGAAAGAGAGAAAATGGGTGTGTTAGCAAACTATCATATCAATATGTCCTTATATGATTCTTCACCTCTAACTCACACATTTATAAACAAACTGTGTTGAGAACGTGATAATTCCCAGGACTTAAACCCGCCCACATGGTGCAGCATCTTAGAAATCCCATACTGCATTTCTGTAACCTGTCAGGACAAGCTAATGGCTACTTCTTCAGCAGTGCTGCTGTGTCACCTTAATTATCTGCAACAAAGCTGTCAATCAAACCATGCACCCTTGGGTGCACAAACACACACACACACACACATTCCTGCCATGCACAAATTCCAAACATGGCTCCAGAGTCATAGACTTGGCTGGTATTAATTAGGAATCGCTGGAGTCAGTCCTCCAGTGGTGTGTCCTTGGGCAGAGGATTAGCAGCACCTGCTACTGTCACAAAAAACTTCATGGGTGTTGCGCAAAATGTTTCAGAGACAAATCCATACATTAATTTTTATACATTGATTATTATAGATTAATTTTATGAGGTAGGACGCAAGTGTGATATTTATTAGGTGTAGGAATCATCGTCATTGTCCGTAGAGTGAATCGAGGAACACGGATACAACGTTAAACATTTCAGAAAGCAGGAGAAGAGGTGAGGAGTAAAACCAAGAAATACAAAATGTCTGAAAGTGCCAATCATAATCAAAAAATCAAAAATAATCAAATAATCAAATAATCAAAAAAGACAAAGGACCAGGACAGTTGAAACAGACAAGCTAATCGAAGCGTAACACAGAACAGGTGAGAACAATCAGTAACAGGTCAATGACAGAACAGGGGTGGAGACTGGACCAGAACAAATACACATGCCAACACAAACAAAAGCACATGACGTGAATCAAAACAAAACACAAGCGCAGGGATTTGTGACATAAGGAAGAAGTATATTAATTTTGGCTCATTTCCTAATAATTCTGGTGGGAACTGAAAATAGGAAATGGAAGAAATGAGGACACAAGTAAGAAAAATCACCTTTCTGGGTCTCTCTAGTAAATTTTCGATTGAGATCAAAATGTCAGCGTAATCTCAAGTTAAAGATCATTAATCAGGAAACTTCACTTGGAATCTGCTAAGCGCTGAGGTTCTTTGACTTCTTTTACAGCTCACAGACCTGATTGGTGCTGACAGCCAAGGTCTCAAGGGTCGTCTCCATGGTGACTCTTCGCATGCACAGGTTCCTGAAACAGTCTTCCTTCAAACAAAGGAAGGAAGCGAGAGGAAGAGGAAGGAAACATCCCTGCCCTTGAAAACAAAACATCTTTGGCCTGGGCAGCCATGAGATCGCTGATGTTTGGGCTGTCAATCAAACTGCTTCGGCTTTTTAGAACTTCACATACACTTTAATTTTTTCTTTTCAAGCCCAACTTTCCTGGCAGACTTCTCAGAAACTCTTATTTTCAGGGACAGTATCAGGTTAGCAGGAAAGACATTTTCCAGCTTTGAAGGCTGTGAAAAATACCTCTAGCAGCGGGTGGAATCTTGGCGCTTTTAATGAGTTAGCTGCCACTTCTTTACCTCAGGTAGAGAAAGTCCCTGGCAAGGTTGCTAAGTAACGAACACCGAACACAGATTACAATTAATTTTGCAGGCGTGAGCTATCATACATGTGGTAGCATGCTTTAGCATATCGTGTCCTTACATCTGGTTTCTGTGGTAACGTGTGAACAGTTCAAGTTTAAGAATCACCTCAGGTTGGCCCAGACATGCTATGTGTGACTAGTGCATTTCATTAACAGAAAGATTTCACAGGGTCATGGAATCTCCTTCCTCATTATGCGTAACCTTTGGGATAATGTATGTTAATGCACGGTAAGAGTCCCGTGTGTAACGACGGGTGGCATTTTCTCCAGACTGGCGCCAGACGAGGGTCGAGACGTAATCACATTTGTACAGTTACACGCAGGCGAGCACATCGGGTAATCTGCATGTCGCACGCCATGCTGCTATAGGTGGAAATGTCCATAAATATCAGAATATTTTATTTATATCTATTTATATCTGCCACATTTCTTAACATAAACAAGTTTTTTGTTTATTACTTGAAACAGCTGAGTGGAAGAATGGATTAGACTCAACATCACAGCCAATTAAACCCAACCCAATGTCCAGCCCAAAACAAAACTCAACCCAGCGTCCAGCCCAAAACAAAACTCAACCCAGCGTCCAGCCCAGAACAAAACTCAACCCAGCGTCCAGCCCAAAACAAAACTCAACCCAGCGTCCAGCCCAGAACAAAACCCAACCCAGTGTCCAGCCCAGAACAAAACTCAACCCAGCGTCCAGCCCAGAACAAAACCCAACCCAGTGTCCAGCCCAAAACAAAACTCAACCCAGCGTCCAGCCCAAAACAAAACTCAACCCAGCGTCCAGCCCAGAACAAAACCCAACCCAGTGTCCAGCCCAAAACAAAACTCACAACTGTTGCTAGAAATATTGCAGTGTTTACAAATAAATATCATGCAATTCGTTTTAAAGTTGCTGTTTGTAAAGTTTTAAAATGTCAGTTGACTGGAACAATTGAAATAATTTCAAATATACTTTAAAAAAAACTTTAACATTATCATACACTCAATCTGGATAATTTCGCATGTCTCAGCCTGGAAATTAGCTCCACCCACCAATAGATTCCCCCCAACCCGAGCCAACAAACACTCAGCCACCCCAAGGTGGAACATTTTTTCAAAGATGCAGTTTGTAACATGTAAGGGTCCCTGATGGACTAGTGGTTAGGCCATAGCACTTTCAGTACTATGGCGTGGGTTCGATTCCCGGCCAGAAGCGCTGTACCAACAGCGCGCTCTCAGTCGGGAAGGGCATCTGCTGTCTAAATAAATGAAAATGTGCTGGACCAATGATCTGCTGTGATGACCCCTAATGGGAGCAGCTGAAAGGAGGGGGGGGGAGTTTGTGATGTGTATAGACCTTTGAGATTCTCAAAGCTGTGACTTGTAACATTAATATATCTATCTTACAGACCAGAAAGTAACCCCACCACCCAGCTGGAACAATACATTGTTTTTAAAGGTGGGGTTTGTAATGTTTAAATGTGTTATGTATGATTTGTAATGATCACACAGTTTCCCAAATAAAGCCATACAAGAGATTTTTTCCAGAGTTCTTTTTAAAGATTTCTGGCCCAGATATTCGCTCCGCCTCCCAGTTGAAGCTGAACTGCTCAGTTCTGCCTCTTTGTTATTACGTGTCTTGTGAGAAATAAAGCCTCGCTATGATAATGCTTTATATAGTAGGTGATAAATGCAAGTGACAAATGAGTGAGTTTCTTTCCCCTCACTTTCCTCCTGTTGTCTTCTTTGCACTTGAACTGTCAAATCTCTACGATCTGCTCCAGAACGATGGCCTTAAAGAGGTGCTTCTTCAATAAACCACAAATCAGGACACAAAGCTCATACTGGAATGATTGAACATACTGAAAAGATGATTTATGTCTCCGCTGTCTCTGTGATCCGTTCACTGAGCGAGCGGGAGTCGACGTGTCACTGAGTTCCACCAGATCTACGGGATTTCGATATCGTGGTTTCGAATAAAAGCAGCCTCAAAAAGACAAATATGATTGGATTACCGCTGTCTCTCTCTTCATCTCCTTCTCTTTGCCCGTGTTTAAGAAGTCGGAAGATCTGAATGTGTGATCATAGAGCACAGAGAGAGAGAGAGAGAGAGAGAGAGAGAGAGAGAGAGAGAGAGATGTATACTGGACTCATTATAGCATGGTCTATTTGTTCCGGTGTGAGGAATGCATTAATATTTGAACACATTTTAATATTAAGGATTCTTTTATATTATAGTGCCACAGACAGAGTGAACATGAACATGAACATGAAGTACAGGAAGTGAATATAATGATTTCTTAACTAAAGATCATGAGCTGAAAGATCCTCAATCTTTATCAGCATCTGCAATCTGTTTTTTTTTAAAACCCTAACACCCCACTGGAGAGGATCGAGAATACTGAATACCGTCAGAAGTACTCAAGATACTGTACTTAGTCTGGCTTTAAGTCCCGTGAGCTAGTGTGTAAGCGGATGTGGGCGTGGCCGAAAAAAAACGACTCGACTTGTGGGGAGAAAATAGTTGATAAACCGCAACGTCACTAAATCTTACCTTTTAGGAATTTTTTCCAATCTGATTTTTAATAATGTATATTTAAAAAGAAAAAGATATTTTAAAACACCTGGAGAAAAAAGAAAACAAAAAATATATACTCATGCTTGGTTTAGTTACTAGCATTGAGATAATATATATTATTATTGTACGACCATAATAAACACACTACAACATGAACAAACCTGATCATAAAATACACATTTCTGTTCATTCAAGCTCAGTTTGTGCCATAAAGTATCAGTTTTCTGTTCACTAATTTTTAAGAAAACAAATTTAAATATTAAGGATAAGTGATAAAACGGCACAATGTTGGTCACGTGATACACGTAACAACATCAGCAGTGAACAGTGCTGCTTGTCATGTGATCTACCGAGTGCTGTGTCACCTAACGAGGTCTCGTTAGGTCTCGATGGTGCCAGTCATGAGCAGGTTCTCTCTGTCTGGATGTCTCTCTCTCTCTCTCTCCAATATAAAAGTTCACAGCCGACACCTTTGTGAAGCTTCAGGAGACAAGGACCTGAGTCTCTGAGTCTTGGACAAAGCAGAGACAAATTACCCAGATGCTGTCACACACTTCACACACTTTGTCAGCTTGCATGCCTGGAATTCAGCTGGCATTCGAGTTGACAGCTCTGTGTTGGAGACACACACAGTATGAGACATGACATACGGACAGCCCTCACTACACAATCACTGTCACGTCTGTAATGTCAAGCGTCGCCTTGCCAGCTTCAAACACAGCCACCAGTGCACTGAGATGAGAAGTTCCCGTCTGTCTGGTCTTCTTTTATACTGCGCTGAAACTCTCTGGAATTACTCATGGAATTTTATGGGCCTTGAATCCCATCTGGAACAGTGTGATTCTGGATGTGTGGATTTTTTGGATCTTGTTATTCCAGACCTCTCTACCTTCCCTACACATTTATCTACTACATTTCGAGGAAATGTAATCAGTTTGACCTTGATGCAGACTTGCCTATGGAATAATCCTTTAATCTAATTATCAAACTTTATTACTTGCACTATGCGATGAAATCATCTGCGTTATCCTGCCTCTAACATATTTCCAGTTTGATGTGACTTAATGCAACACTGGTGAGAATAAATTAGATTAAAGTTAATTGGACACTGGTGTTGGAAGGGAAGATTATCTGTGATAATATATGATCTTTCCAAGACTACAGTGGAAAAATTCCAGACCAAAATATCTGGAGAGGATGTGTGTGTGTGTGTGAGTGTGTACACCGATCAACCGTAACATTAAAACCACCTGCCTAATATTGTGTAGGTCCCCCTTGTGCCACCAAAACAGCTCTGATCCATCGAGGCCTGGACTCCACTGACCTCTGAAGCTGTGCTGTGGTATCTGGCACCAAGACGTTAGCAGCAGATCCTTTAAGTCCTGTAAACTGCAAGGTGGGGTCTCCATGGACATGTTTGTCCAGCACATTCCACAGATGCTCGATCGGGTTGAGATCTGGAGAATTTGGAGGCCAAGTCAACACCTTGAACTCTTTGTCATGTTCCTCAAACCATTCCTGAACAATTTTTGCAGTGTGGCAGGGCACATTATCCTGTTGAAAAAGGCCACTGCCATTAAGGAAGGTACCGTTGCCATGAAGTTTTATAGAAAATAATCATGTTTCCCCATGCTTTCCAATGCCTGAATTTTTTGGACTATGGTATGTCTATGTTACAATCACCAGCTGGAGTGCCCATGAACTCCACTAGAGGGCACTCCACCCTGGACTCTTGCTATTGTTCTCTGGACTCCATTTTGCATGTGTTCCTTGCCCCACCTGTGATCTTGTCATGTGCTACCTTTGTCTGTGTTATGTCCGGATTGGTTCCTTGGTTACATGTGTCTTGTTTCCATTGGTTAGTTTTGTCATGTGTTCTCTTTGCTCTGTATAAAGGTTACTCACACCTGCTCCTAGGTTGCTGATTGTTTGTTTGGTTGTTCGTGTTTGTTCGTGTTCGTGTTTTCCAAGTTTCCTAGTTTCCGTGTTGCCTAGTTTACCTGTGTTTTGACCCGTGGACTGTTCTCCTTGTTTTTGATTGTTTGCTGCCTGCCCTGACCATTGCCCGTGTTTTGGATTACTCTTTTGCCTCTGCCTTGGATTGTACTGTTTGCTGGTGCTCGACCCTGCCTGTTTTGACCACGTTTATTAATAAAGCCTTGCGTTTGGATCCCCAACTCCGTTGTCACGACTCCACACGTTACAGTCTAAAACTACTCAAAACAAGCTGCTAGACTTTGTGATGAATTATTGTTTGTTCTCAACTCTTAACTGCCTACTGCTCTAAAAAAATTCACTAGATAATAGCTTATAGCATAAATAAAGTGTGATAGCCTCTCGACTTCAATTGGTCTGAGGCTATGTCATCATTAATGTCATCCCAAATATTTACAGCATCCTTAGTAAGTGCCTGGTCAGGGTCACAATGATTTAAAACGTGCTACTAGTTTCTTTATATTTTGGGAAATAGAGCCGATTAAATTCTTTAGGAAATATCGCACACATTGCTGTACTTTGAGAGCAGTTATGAACTGGAGTGATGTAGCTGAAGCTGAGGAATTCTATTGTTTCTAGGGGCATAGTATTAGGGTTTACATTTAAATTTCTTTTTTTTAATTTCTGATTTAGGCCACGCTCACTTCAGGTTTACATCCAGATACAGATAGTGGCAATGCGTTACATATAGTGTTAGACAGCGTGTACAGAGTTTGTGAAGAATGTTCAGTCTTGTATTCTTCCTCCAGCATCAGGTTTGTTTTGAGTTGGCTTTCAGCACCAGCGCAGTGTGTTGGGGAGAAACGTTTTCGCCCCCAGCTTCGGGGTTTTCTCAGTTACATAACAGGCCAGAAGAGAGTTATTGTCATAAGTCCAGCGGATGCAATTAAAGTCTAGCCACTTGCCTGCAAGCGTGCGTTCGCATGAGCCTCTTAAAACCCGTGGCGAGCGTGGGAACGCGCTTTAAACTGATCACGTTGTGTCTGAGAATCATAATGTGTGATCTTCTTTTTTTAGATTTAAAGATAGTTGGTGAGGACTTTACTTTCATAACTAAAGAAACTATCAAATCCATGCTCTGAGTTATTCTGTTAAATTCTTAACTCCTTACGCTGACATTCACACTGAAATCTCACGCACACGTGCACACACACACACACACACACACACACACACACACACACACACTAAGTCTTTCAGTTTCCTTTGTGCTGTGACCTCATGCACGCTACCTCCATTTCTATCCTCTGTTTCCCACTCCATCCATCCATTCATAGACTCTTTTCTTTTTTTAAACACACACACACACACACACACACACGGCTCACTAAGTAAAACAAATAACAAATGAGAGAAGTCATTGCCCCGTCCTTCTAGTTTTATGAGCATCTCACTCTCTCTGCCTGTCTGTCTCTCTCGCTGTCTCTTTCCCTCTCTTTCTGTCTCTTTATCACTCTCTCTTTTTTTCTCTCTGTCTGTCTATCTCTCTCTCTGACTGTCTCTATTTCTGTCTCCTCTGCCTGTATACCTCTCTCCTGTCTGTCTGTCTGTCTCTCCTTCTGTCTCAGTCTCTCCTGTCTCAGTCTCTCTCCTCTGCCTGTCTGTCTCTCTCTTTCTATAACTCTCTCACCCCTCTTGTCT